GCGCTGTAATGCGATGGTAAGGGCTCGCATTACACCGTTACTGAAAGCTGCGCTGTAATGCGATGGTAAGGGCTCGCATTACACCGTTACTGAAAGCTGCGCTGTAATGCGATGGTAAGGGCTCGCATTACACCGTTACTGAAAGCTGTGCTGTAATGCGATGGTAAGGGCTCGCATTACACCGTTACTGAAAGCTGTGCTGTAATGCGATGGTTCGGACTCTCTCTGGTTCGTTCCACAGACTGGCGTTTTCCTGCATATGGGAAGTGAACCAGGACGCTGAAATTCTCCACACAAGATTTACAAAAAGCGTAATAAACTCCAAGGTATGCAGTGCCAGTCTTCCCTTCTTATTCCGAGAGTGCGAATGGAACGGTGACGATGATGTCGTCTTTGCGCTAGGCCTCGCTCACATACGCCGAGGCACAGATGAGGATAGACGATTCCAACATGAATGATGACATCACCAAGAGCCTGCGGGGGCTAAACAGGCTGGCAAAGATCCTTAAAAAGAAGAGAATTGAAAAGGGGTATGTGATATTATTCTTTAACTGGCCCACTCTACATTGTAGCAACTTACAATGTCAGAATGTTTCAGTGAACTTTGGAGAATGTTCATCATTTGTCCACATGATCATGCTGAAATGAGTTTTGGATAAAAAATAGTATAATGTGTTTCTACATTCATTGTTATTGTGTTACATTGATCGTAATGCTGAGCTGTTCTGAATTGCAGTGCACTGACCCTGTCTTCTCCTGAAGTTCGCTTCCACATGGACAGTGAGACCCATGACCCAGTAGATCTCCAAACCAAAGAACTCAAGTGAGCTTTTCCTATTGGATGGATGGATTTTATTCTGCTTAAAGAACCTATGGAGTTCTTCTCTTAACTTTATGGCCATTGGTATCCCGTTTTCTATTTCACATTTTCAAAGTAAGGACTATTTCTGTTTTGTTCGTAGGGAGACCAACTCCATGGTTGAAGAGTTCATGTTGCTGGCCAACATATCGGTAGCGCAGAAGATCTACGACGAGTTTTCTGAGTGTGCTCTGCTCAGGAAGCATCCAGCTCCACCGCTGTCCAACTATGACATCCTGAACAAGGCTGCCAAGTCAAGAGTATGATCTCTCCCAAGCTGTGCGGTCGCTGAAATTCTTTAGCAGTCAGATCAGATTGTGCTGTCAAAACAAAATGATAGATTGGTGAGGCTTTGTGACACGTTGGGTTAGGGTGCTGTGCCTGTGATTGGATCGCTGGGCCCTTGAGCGATATCCTTAACCTCCGGTCGCTCCAAGGATTGTCTGACTCTGCTCTCTCAGTTGTATGTTGCTTTGGATTAAAGTGTGTTGTGTAAATGGTTTGGTTGATATCTGTTTTGATTGTTAAGCAGCAGGTCTGGGACACAAACTTCTGGATCAAAATGAGATTTTCGATGTGTTCAGTTAGTGTTGTTTCTTGCATCTTGGTGCTGTTGTGTCTGTGCAGGACGTTGTGGTCCAGATGGACTCCGCCAAAGCCCTGGCTGACTCCCTGGACCGGGCCCAGATTAAGGACTTCCCGTATTTCAACACTCTGCTGCGTATCCTGGCCACTCGCTGCATGATGCAGGCTGTCTACTTCTGCTCTGGAATGGACAGCGACTTTCACCACTATGGCCTGGCATCACCCATCTACACCCACTTCACCTCGCCCATCAGGAGGTCAGCGCCCAGTCCTCTCTGTCCCCTCCCACTTATGCCGCAGTGTCCCTTATCTCCTAGGGCCACTAATTCTCCGCCAGTACTTTTATTAGGCGGACTAATAAAAATAGTATGAAATGGATGTCAAAGGAATGCTGATATTGTTCCAACTCGGCTTATTTCTAATTGTTCCAACTGATCTGTTTCTTGCACTTTGATCACCTTAATGAATAACATGATTTAAGTCATTATATCAGTGTTGTTTTGTAAGGACTGGCAAATATTTTGTTTTATACAGCAAATCGTTTAAAAATTATTGTAGATGCTGGAAATATATACAGCTGTATTTCACTTTGTGAAATGAGCAGAAAAATAAATTAACAATGGAATGACTATCAACAGGAAGGAAAAAAAAAATATACATTTGTTACACGTTTAAGTGTGAATGTACTCCGACTTGTCTTAAGTAACACAGTTATGTTAAACCAACTATCATGAAAAAAGATTTTTGGAATCCACATGTCAGTACCATGTGACTCCTTGAATGTCTACCATGTTAATGAAGCCTGAATGATTTAATTGTTTGGTTTTTTTATACTGTATTCAGAATGGCCCAGGTTGGAGTCTCACATTAAAATGAACTGCTGTGTTAAAGCTAATTTATACCTCTGCACCGAGCCTACGCCGTGACCTGTGCAAGCAGTATACGCCATTATGAGCATTTATACTTGTGCGCTGGTGTGTCTGTCACTCAGCAATTACGCCGCCAAAATGCTAGGTGATACATAGTTTTGGATGTCGCATTTATGTTTAATTGTGCAATTGAATTAGGGAAAAAAAACATATAACAAAGTATCAATTTGTCGAATCCTGGTTATATTTGTGCTGCTCCAAACTTCCCGTAGATAAATTTGGAAGAATGTCAAGCCACTGCAGTCACTTTTTATGTATTTTCCCTTCTAAAGTGTCTATGCTTCTTCACACTTTTTTTTTTTAGTCTTGTAAAGTACAAATAAACTTGGAGGTAAGTGAAATAGGCGCTGTCATCCTGAATGCTTTGTAGACCTGTTTTGTAGACGATGCATAGGGTGGGTTATTTAATGCTTGATATAAATAATGCTTTAGTTTCAATCAGCAGTATTAGTACACCTGGGATGTACATTTTCTTTGCTCCCTTTAAAAAATTAATGGTACCACGCAGACCAACCTCAGCTCTTGTGGTCTAGTTAAGTATCTGGGGAGGTGCCTCTCACACTGCAGCGTGGGCTACGGCTTCAGGTCCACAGCTATGCAGTACTTACGGTGTCGATACAATGCAGAAGTGTAAATCAGCCCTTGTTTCTGTTTATTTCATAGATATGCTGACATTATAGTACACCGGCTGTTGGCGGTGGCCATTGGAGCAGACTGCACCGACCCGGACCTGCTGGACAAACATAAGCGTTCGGCTCTGTGCAACAACCTGAACTACAGGCATAAGATGGCTCAGTATGCCCAGCGGGCCTCCGTCGCACTCCACACTCAGGTAAACCTGTAGACGAGGCTCCCTTTGGGGTNTCCACACTCAGGTAAACCTGTAGACGAGGCTCCCTTTGGGGTGTCCTCCACACTCGGGTAAACCTGTAGACGAGGCTCCCTTTGAGGTGTCCTCCACACTCGGGTAAACCTGTAGACGAGGCTCCCTTTGGGGTATCCTCCACATTCAAGTAGACCTATATATAGTTTGGTAAAGCTATATATAGGTATATCTATAGATGAGGCTTCCATTGGGAAGTCCTCCACACTCAGGTATACACTACAGGCCAGAAGTTTGGGCCCACCCTATGATTTAAAAAAATAAAAAAAAAAAAGCTATATACTGCTTTTTCAAACTTGTGTTACAAGAAAATATTAGAAAAACTTAAAACAGATGACTGGTTTTAAAGTGTAATATAACCATTTGCTGTGCATTACTGTGCTGTTTAATGAATGCGAGTGCTTAAGTATGAGTTTCATCAAGATAACCAGCCCTTGCCTTTATCAGAGCAGCACAAATTCAGAGTCTCCTTTCCAGCAATTTTTAGGAATAACTTGTGTCCAAACCCTCCCAACACCTATTCACACATGCAAACAGTTCTGTCTCATTTGCTAGATGCTCTTTTCAAAATTGTTGGCCAACTCTCCCATGGATGGACCTTCCTCTGTCCATAAGACCTGCTCCCAGTCCTGAATACTCCAGTGTTTGTGTTGTTTAGCCTATAGTAGTCAATTTTTTCTTGTTAACCCCACAAAGTAAAGGTTTTCTGGCAGCAACTCGACCATGCAGTCCAGCTGCTCTCAGTCTTTGCTTGACTGTTTTAAGAGATACCGGTTTCCCTCTGTTGACATTAATCGCAGCCCTCAGACCATTAGTCATCTTCCAATCCTTTGCACATCACAACTAAGTGCTGATCTTCAGCCTTTGATGTCACTTTCCTTGCCCCAGACTGTTTCCGGTCACTGTTGCTTTCTGTCAGCCTTTTTCTCTGTAAACAGTAGGTCACTTAATGCTTAGAAGCATTTAACTCTCTGGGTATTTGGCAATGAGAGAGCCCTTCTTCACTCAAAATTTCGATTTGAGCCCTCTTCAATTTTTAGCTGTGTCTTTCTAACAAGCATAAAAATAACAAATATTTATCAAAAATTCTGACATCAGTTGTGATACAGTACAACAGAAGATTGAAACGAGGAGCAGACAGTGCATTAAAGTTTAAACCTCTCACAACCTGATCATTTAGTTTATTAAGAGCAAATCAGGTTCTGACATTAGTAAATAGAATTCCAACGCAAAGTGAATTTCAATGCACCATAGACAGTCTTGATATGGCTTCTTCAAAACTAATAGTTTCAGCCTTTGTGGCTGAATAACGTGTTACTGCAATGCTAAAAATACTGGCAACCAGTCAGTTACATTTGTTTGAAGTATTTCTAATATTTTCTTGTAACAACAAAGCAGTGTATCATTTATAAAAAATCCAAGGGTATTCTGGTCTGTGTTGTACCTATAGACGAGGCTTCCATTGGGCAGTGCTCCACACTCAGGTGTACCTATAGACGAGGCTTCCATTGGGCAGTGCTCCACACTCAGGTATACCTATAGACGAGGCTTCCATTGGCGAGTGCCGCTCACATTTGTATTTTCTCCATGTATGTAGCCTCAGGCATATAATGCTTGGTGAGCTGAACTGACTCTCACTGTTGTTCTGTCTTTTGAGGCCTGTCAGCTTTCAGATGGACATTGGTGCTGTGTCTGAGTTGCCTTTTTATAATTGTTATTTCAGCTGTTTTTCAAGAGCCGGGGGGTTCTGAATGAAGAAGGTTTCATCCTTTTTGTGAGGAAGAATGCCATCATTGTCCTCATCCCAAAGTTTGGATTGGAGGGTACAGTGTTCTTCGAGAGCAAAGACAAGATCACGCCCCCTCTGACTTTTAACGAAGAGGTAGCTGTTGTGATTGTTGTCGGCCATTTCCTTTTGCTATTCTGGTAAAACGTTCACCTTTGTAAGTGCTTCATGTTTACCTTTACCTACATGTAGATTTATGAAAGCTGCAGGTGTCGTCCTCACGTCGTTATTCTGCGTAACCTTTCGTTGGTTTACCGCGTGTGGCAGTAACTAACCGTGTTTTCCAGGGGCCTACGCTGACCGTGCAGAACCACACTTTTCACTTGTTTGACAGAGTGAAAGTAACCATCAGTTTAGATTCGTCAAACATTCAACACCAGAAAATAAGAATGTCCATCATAGAGCCAGTGGTGAGTTTTCCTTAAAACCGTAAATACCTTTTTGTGGTCCGTATGTGTGTATCACAGAGTGGCCTCTTCGGATTATACACATCTGTAAATGTGTGTGCTACAGTGAGTACAAATGTCAAAACAAACCTATTTATCTTTTGAACTTGGTTTGTCCTTTCCTAGATTCCAGGAGTCAGTGTTGATCCCCCTGAGATGGAGCCTCAGACAAAGAAAGCCAGGCTTAACCCCTGAGATCAGGGGTCTGTTACATCAGTGGTTGGTGTATTTACTCACCTTTCTGCCATACTTAATTCTCAGTTAGTTTTTTATAAAACATTTAGCCCAAATTGGTACATTTTAAGTATGATATATTTTTTCTAGGACTCCTTGCCAGATCCTTAGAAGAACAAGTTTAAGTAATTTAAGTCTAGAGCCTGGAAAAACCTGCTTAAGACTTTAAAATAAATGTTTCAATTAAATCCCTTTGCCTGTGTATTTTAAGGACATTATGAACTTTTTTCCCCTGATGGTGATCTATTTTATAATTTATATTTTTGACAAGATTTTAGAATTTTGTACTTACTGTAGAAATTCCTTATCTTTTTTTTTCCATTTCAACATCCAGGTTTATCAAAGCAATGCTCTTTGTTACACATTATCTGACTAATAAATCTAGCTTTACTGAAGGATTTTGTTATGAATCTTCTGAATTTTCCATTACTGAATTTAACTGGGACTGCTATCATTAATGCTAATACTTCACAGTGCTGTTGTACTCCTGTACTGTTCGATATTTTGCACATCACACATCTTCCCAGTAGGTGGCACTGTATCCCAGCACTTGAATCACATGACGAGTGTGCACTATGTATCAGTTCAAGGAATATAATGTTTATTTTCCTACTGCTTGGTGAGGATTCCATTGCTGTTATCACCATGACACTGTGTCAGATTTCAAGTTAAATTCTGCTGGTTTCAGGATGACCATGACCCTGTACTGCAAAAGCAGGAGGGAATATGAATGGACACACTTCTGCTTTAATAGATAGTTTTCATTGGTATCTAATATATCATCTGTAAATAGTATATCTATTCCCCCCCCCCGTCTGTGGTAGTCGTGGGATGTCTTCCAGTATGATATAATGTGGTAATGGGTCATATTAAGAAACTGTAAGATCAAAATACTTTGATTCTCTTTGTGTCTATTACAGCAAAAAAAGATTTTAATTCATATTATTAATATTCAGTGATACATCAGAAAGTTAACCATAGTCTTTTATCATAATTGTCTTATATTGCTTTAATATAGGGGGAATGGAAAAAACAAACATGAAAACACTGATTATTATATGAGCTGAAATGATAAACCAGCCAATCTGGGTCATTGTTAGTGCGTAGATTAGTTTTAACTTTATCGGAGGTTTGTTGACGTTAATTATGACTTTGTAGATAACAAATCTGAATGAAATCCATTCCAGTGATATTTTACCTGAGTGATACTGCAAAACAATGTAACACCTGGTATACTGTGATATTCTGTGCTTTAATCTGGCGCTTAAAATGAAAAGTGATGTGAAAAAGCAGTTAAATACACCATTAGATTTGTATTCAATCAAGGGTTTAACCGCAGGACCCCTTCTCAGTGACTGGCCACCCACCCTAGGTCTGGGTTCATAGCCTGAACAAGGCTAGCTGAATGTACCCATCTGCTGAATCCTCTGTATATACAGCCGACCCTTCAGCATCGCAGGGGTTTGGGGCACAGGCCCCATTCGATCTGGAGAAACTGTGTAAAAATTTTTGGTCCCCTTGGCAACCGAACCGAACCGAAAAGATAGAAGAGAAACGTGAGATGCACAGATGACTGTGAGATCACTATGAGATACCACATCAGGGGCTGCCGTAAACACACTTGGCGTCCCTCATACCCACACTGTGCATATATTTTATGCATTTATGAGTTACTAAACTTTTTCTGTGTTGTCTGCTAGCCTGTCATCTGTGGCTTTCGTGAAACTGAAAAAAAAAATCCAATTAATTTCTTATGCCAAAACTGCAATAGGAAAAGTGGCGATGCAGAAGGGGCAGATATTTTGTGTTTATTTCAAAGTGCTCTTCAAACGAAACCATTCTCCTAAATTCAGGTATATATGCAAGTACTGCTGTGTCTAACAATCCAGTGTGTTTGTAACAGCACAGTGACGGCATTATGGAAACATCCAAGAACTATCACTCCAATCAGCAGTTTTATCAGGCATTGTGTGATGAGAGCGACCTCTGGGATATTTAGCGGTTCTTTTCCTGACACTTCCTGACCCGGCTGGATAGAGTTTGCACAACACAAACAGTGTTTTGCTTCCGTTTTACATACAAATATATACATATTTCTACAAGCTGTTCTGTACTAAGTGCAATAGTAGGGAGCATGAATTCCACATTGAAAGTCAGCAGAGGACTTTGATCATATCTCTTACAAACTCATCCAGCAGGAAGAAGTAACAAAGCTGCACACTGAGAACGACAAAAGATATAACTTGGAGATATCTTCGAAGGGCACAAGCAAATTAAATTGAGGAAGCGGGGTAGTGTTAACTGTTTGTTACAGGGTCGTCTTGGGAACATAATGAATTCAAAGGCAAATAACCTCTCCCCTGGTCTATTGTTTGCTTTTCAGGAGGCCTGACGAAGGAATTTCCACATACTGTAATCTTTATCATCTCCTTTCAGTTACACATAGCCTAAATATAGATTGTATCTGTATGTAATGTTTTTCCCGGTAATGTGTTTAAGCTATGAATGAGCAGTGTTCTCCTAAGCACGGCTGAATGCAGGATCTCCAGCAACAGTATAATGCATGATTGATTTGTACAGCAGATTTTGTCCCAGCCCCAGACTGCTGATGTACAATATTTAGCATAGCATGTGGAAAGTGAAGTTATCTGAAAATCCCATTTAAAAGCCTCGCACAACAAAAACATGCAAAATCACAACATAATCGTTTGAAGTCTACGTTATAGTACACTGTACCTATTCAGGGGCACTAGGGAAGGCTTTACATGAGAGGCCCTAAACGACTGCCTGTTCTGTGTGCAGCTAGAGCTGGTCCTGATTCCATATCACAGTTATGTAGCATGATAATCACTCTTGCATCATTGTATCGCACGGGTAATTTTGGAGGGAATCTCTGCTAAGAAGACTTCTTCTTGTTGATGTCTCTGTTTCCTTATGGACATTTAAACTGAACTACAGAATAAGTCCATGTAGTTTATGAATTATAATCATAGCTCTATATAATAAAGAGTAAACGCTTTTATAGTCATACTTATTGGTACTCTAATAAACTTTGTCTTCTATAATAAATTGAAAATTGATTTACAACAAAAAATGGATCCCCAGTAAGGATACCAACTAAATTTACCACAACTATATATATTTATATGTTCTGTAGATGTTTGGACATAAAAATATTGGATTAGAGTTGAATGTCTAAATAAAAATATTCTGGACAGCATTGCTATAAGATTTCCTTCTCATTAACGCCGGACACAGAGTTGTTGGCAGCCCCCTGCCCCCTGTAGGTTGCTTCATGCCCCGCCAAGGATAAGCTGCAAGATAGATGGATGAATATAATTTTCTGCTCTTTCTATTATAGTCTAAACCCTTAAACCCTTACCCTAAGTCTTTTGGGTGAGACACAGCTTTGTATGGTCTTCATATGGTCTGTTATATAATATAATTTTTGTACACAGTGGTAGATTTTATTATTTGAGATTTTAAGTTTTTTTTTAAGTTTTGAGTTTTTAGTATTATTAGGTCCATCAAAAATGGAAGAACATCATAATTTTTTTAATTATTATTTGTAATTTCATCAATGTAGCATCAATTAGAAATTGCATGAAGCACTGAATGGACATTGATTGGGTCTCCATGAAGCACCAAGGAAATATGCAGTTGGATCCCTATAAAGCACTGAACTGGCATGTACTGTGTTCTCCATAAGGCACTGAAAATCATTTAATTGACATATAGTAAGGGTTCCATAGAGCGCTTAATTGACATATAGTAAGGGTTCCATTGAGCGCTTAATTGACATATAGTAAGGGTTCCATAGAGCGCTTAATTGACATGTAGTCCAGACTCCATAGAGCACTTAACAGGCATGTAGTAGGGACTCCATGGGGCACTAAATTGACATGTGATTAGGTCCCTATAAATCATCTGACATGCCACCTTAAGGTATTCAACTGACATAATGTACTGGACTATAGAATTCAGCTTTCTTATATTTTACAGGTAATTAAGGTTAGTTGAGCTAAATCTGTTCAGCCTCAAGCAAAGGAGACTGAGGGGGGACATGATCCAGGTCTATAAGATTCTAACAGGTTTGGATGCTGTTCAACCGAATAGTTACTTCAGCATTAGTTCAAATACAAGAACTCGTGGCCATAGGTAGAAATTAGTGGGAGAACATTTCAAACTGGATTAAAGGAAGCACTTCTTTACACAGCGTGTAGTCAGAGTATGGAATAGTCTTCCTGATAACGTAGTGCAAGCTGAATCCTTGGGTTCCTTTAAATTAGAGCTAGATAAGATTTTAACAACTCTGAGCTATTAGTTAAGTTCTCCCCAAGCGAGCTCGATGGGCCGAATGGCCTCCTCTCGTTTGTATAGTTCTTATGTTCTTATGTTCTAATATAGTTATTTTATCATTTACATGGCTTGGGAATATTTTATCACAACCTAATCGCTTAACCTCTTCTTGGAAATATCCACATAACTACTGGCATACCTTCATCAAAGACAGGAAAGGACAACCTTTAAAGCAGTGAGATTTATGCCAAATCTCATACACTTTAATTTTGTGATGTCAGTTGTGGTATTAGAACAACATCACTTCTCATTGCCTGCAAATTAGCAAAGATATACTTTCAGCTTTGCAGTAGATTTAATTCAAATTTCTGTTCCTATTAAACTGCAGATTTCTGTGGCAAATTTTCATTAGACCATCTGGAGTAGAATTAGGTATTAATAGCAGAGTTGAGACCACACTAGTCATAATAATTTATGACTCTGTTTAACGTGAGTATTCCCCAGATGACTCTGAATACAAGTTCAGTTAAAATATGGAATTACATCACAGATATCTCTCCAAAACCAGTTCCTATTAGTTTTAACACAGGGAATCTTTGTTTTCGTCCTTGTTGTTTCATATCATATCCATTACAAAATAACAAACTTGTTTACCAGATGCATTACTTTGTAAAGTCAAGATGAAATTTGCTGTCTTCTGAGAAGCATTCATACACCTATTTTAACATGCTGCTTTAAGAGTTATCTCGGTTAAAGTCCGAATTTTCAAGGTCAGCTTTTTATTGAGAAAATCATTGTTTATGCAATCATGAATCCGTGACATTTATAGGGGATTTAACACAAACACATACACATATTCATATGTGACAGAACTGTGAACAAAATAGTTATTTTATACATGCTGAACAAAAATGAAATGTTTAAGAAATAATTTTGAAAGCGATCCTGCAAGTATTTGTTATGAAACCACTACTGATAATATCGCCTGCTGATTCCTCCGCCATGTGCAAACAGATCTCATACTAGATGTTTTTCAGGTGTGGATCCACTCTGATGGTATGAGCTATCCAAATATGTTCATTCTGCAGAGTTTCTCA